TATGTTGAAATTTTTATTTGATTTACCCATTTATGGAGATTGTGAATGTCTTGAAATATAAATTGATAAGGTTAATGCTAGTTATTTTTGTTAAGTTTTTAATTGATTGCATATCTTCGGTATCATCCTGGAAGTATTTGACAAGACAATGGACATATCCACTATGTTCAAACTCTCCACTGACTTTGCTTGCCTTTTGCTGCTTTACTAGCATTCAGTGTTCTCACTCAGGATCTTGCTTCTCTTCCTTTTATTCAGAATCATTTTACATTTAGTACTTGTAATGGCTTTATAGTATCAATAGGTAGCTGAAGGCAGTAGCAGTTAATTTAAATAGTTTTTCCATTTTTTTTAATTTTTTTTAAAATTTGCGATGGAAATAGCGATGGAAAATCCGTAGCTAGTTTCCAACGCGCCTAAATCCGTAGGTAATTTGCGAAGGAAAAAGTTGTAGCTAATACCGTTGCAAATTAGCGACAACTTTCCCGTCGCTAATAGCGACGTGCCCTTCCGTCGCTATCAGCGACTACGTATACAAATCTGTCGCTGAAGTTTAGCATCGAGGGTATTGCCGACGGTTTTTACCGACGGGAACGTTCCGTTTCTGAAAGTTATCACCAACGGAATTCGGGGCTTCAGCGACGGAAAAATCCGTTGCTGAAGCCGCAGTTTCTTGTAGTGAAAGAGAACTTCAAGTTTTGTTCTCATGTTGGGTTCACGAGCTATTTCATGGTCGTCATAGAAGCAATTTGTTGTTACTTTATCGACTACTGAAGTAGAGTGTGCAGCTATGACATCTTATGCTTGTCAAGTCATTTGGTTAAGGAAGATGTTAGAATTTGGGTGTGATCTGAATTCCTTGTTGAAATAATTGAAGAATTCTAAATTGAAGTACACGTCAAGAGGAATTCAATTTGGAATGCTATTGGAGTTTTATTCAAGTTGAAATTCTATTTGGAAACTCAATTGGAAGTTGGAATTTGTATTGGACTTTAAAATATTGAAATTATGGACAGGAAAGAAAAGTTGCCGCATTTTCGCTAGCTGGCTACTTGAGCAAACAGGCTGTCACTAGCTTATCACTCGAGAGGCATGGCTATACATTCCAAGCCCTTTTCGCGTTTTAACACATTTTTTGGCATTCTACTTCAACTACAATTCATCTATTAGGGTTTGGACTTCGTCCTACATAGTTGCCTATAAATATTAGGCTATTCTATACAATTTTATAAAGGGTGAGAAAAGTGATTACTAGCTTTTAGGATCATTGTCGTCTTCATTATTTGTAGTGCAATAAAATCTCATAATTCCTCTACCGTATTTTCTTGTCTTCTTTTATTCTTTTGCTTGAAATCATATACTTCATATTTTGTCATATAATTCCAACTTCTCAATCCGCTGGTTGGTTTCATATCAAATGGTATCGAGTAATACGTGATTCTTGAATTTTCAATAATTAGTATTAGAGATTCTGAGCATAATTAACACAACAGAAGATTTTTGAAGAGCTTCATTTCAAACAACTAGGACCTACTCCAATTTATAATGACAGGCAATTAACCTCTCCAAAAATCTCGTTTTACATGGAAGAAAGAAACGCAACAATGTGAATTATTTTTTAAGGTATCTCATGAAGGAATGAACAATTTATATGATTTATTGCAAAGTGAAGATCAAGTTGTTGACTTATTACCATTGAAATTGGCTACATTATAGAAATTACAAAGGTTGCTTGGTTTTTGAACACGAGAAGACTCTTAAACACAACGTTTGTAAACTTCCAGTTTAAAACGGAAATATTGATAGTTTCTTAGTTAGTAGGTCTTTTATATTTTATTCATTAATTTGTATTTGTTATTTTCTATATCAATGATTTGCTTAACTAATGCACAACTAAATTAGTTTTCAACTTTTTATGAAATGGGTGTCTTGTATAGTCTATTTGAGGTCATTGAATGTAATGCGGATTCCAATT